TGCGCAATATATACTTTAGCACCGAAGTCTCCTTTTCGTTCCCTAGGAGGCAAGACTTGCACCCCACACTGGAAGTTATTTCTCCTAGGAGGCGGTGCCCACATGCACCGGCATGGCTCATTGCCCCAAACTTTGCTATGCCAATAAAATGGCAGTCGTTTTGCCGCTTCATGACAGACTTCCTTACCTTAAGGGAAAGGCCTGCCAAGCACAACAGCACAGCCCATGTAAAATAAACATGTTTTAGGCCCTTCTACTGCTCCCTTTCACTTTTCTCCCCTTTTCTTCCCCAGATTGAAATAAAATACTCCTCCTTTTGGGGTTTCCTCCCCTCCACAACTGTTGGGTGCTCTTCCAGCTCTCAGCCCCCAGGCTTAGGTTTGGTTACTTAATGGGGAATGGTGTTTGTCAATTCTAACAGCCGGTGTTAAAGTGTACAATTTAAAAGCAGTTATAACCTTAAGCACAATTATTTAATCACAGCATTTAGCAGATTACAGGTTGAAAACACTATATAAACATCAAGCTGGATTTTCAGGCTATGCACTTGAAGGCAGGGCATGGAGATGGCATTGCCTTTCCATTTATTTTTCCACCCATCGCTCATGTTAATGGCAGCAAATAATAGCTACAGGGGTTGCTATCATTTCCTCCATCTTGCAACAGTGTCACAGTCTGTTCCTCTGTCAGCAATTGCTGGAGGGAAGTGTTCTCTAGAAAAACCTCCACCTACTTTTGAGATACCTTCTCACACACCTGCATGTTCAAGACAGCCTTACAACCCGTTCCTGGAATTTGGCTATGTCTGCACAGGAGGCTGCTCTGCAGAACACACATCGCTTGAGGATTAAATAGCCAGTGCAGAGGTCCATGATATTGCAACTTGCCTGCATCTGCCCCCAAACAGCTTAATTCACAGGTATGTTTGTGCTATATTGACTTCTCCATTCTTTTTCCTTAGATTACAGAACATCTCCTGAAAAGGAGAGTTTATGAACTGATTCTGTTTTTCAAGAAACTGAGGAAATCTTTCCAGTATTTTTTTTCAGAGGCTTCTTCACTTTTCAAACCAGATTGGTGGGGACTATTCTTGTGACTCAAAGTGCAAGGCTCCTGCATGCTTTGCTTGTGAGGAAACTGAGGCAGAGCATGAGGCCTTATCTGCAGTCATCCTGCAGGCCTGTGATGGAAATAGAAATAACACCTCTGACACCTAGTCCATTGCTCTGTTTGTTAGGCCATTCTGTGTCTCACACTGTCCTGTTTCCCATGATGGACAAAATTCTGAATTTTATCATCATCATTAGTAGACTGTTGTTCAGGAACAAGCTATTGAGTAACTCTTTCTGCTGTATGCTTCCCATCATTGCTCTTATATGGTGAAGACCTGGTGCTGCTGTTAAATGTTATAGTGACCCAGGGCTCACTATTTACTCAGATTAATCTCCTGATTTTCAGACAGGTAATTCGTCGCAGCGGCTTCTACCCAATTTTCTGTTCTTGATGCTGACTCTTTGCTGATTGCTCCTATCACATTCATTTCTTTCACATATTGCTTGTGAAATTATTTTTGTCCAGCAGTGGCCTTGTTTTTGCCAAATTGTGAAATTTATTAATTTCTGAAAGTACTCAGAGTTTCCTCATGACTAAATCTGACCAACTCTTCTGCCTTTCCTCTCCTTAGCAAATATTGAATTTGCCAGATATTTTCATGTTGGCCATCCCAATGGGAGGTCTAATAGACAAATTTCCCTGGAAAAATATTTGGGGTTAGACCACCCAAACACGGAGTGACAGGAACCTACGTCTACGTGTTTCTCAATTACCAGGTGCCTGATCTCAAGGCAAGCCAATATCGGCTTTTCTCTTTTCTCCAGAGGGGTTTAGACCCCAAACACTTTGTAGAGTGCCCTAATGTTCACTCTGGCTTGGTAAAATCTCTGCCCAGAAAAAGGCTTCTAGCAAACTGTCGTGATGGAAGCACCAGCCCTCCAGGAATACGCCATCTTTGGCTGATGGCAGAATATGAGGGCAGTTGCTCAACCTCAGATGGATGATATATGTCACAAGCAATCCCTTAACACAGGACTACTGTAATTAGTATTTTGTCATAGGCCTGTAAAGCAAATATTAATCTATTTTTAGCATTTGATACATTTTGTCCTCAGCTGCTGTGATCAGAAAACGTGCAAGTAGCTTATACCAGTTTGTACTGTTTAGTGTTGACCACAGCTACAGAGCTAGACAGATTTGGTCCAACTAATCCTGAGAAGGGCCCTGTGGGATGGCATTGTTCACATGTCTACAAGACAGGTAAAAATTCCAGCCCAAGCATACAGAGAGAATGTATGTCAGAAGAAATTAGACTGTGATCTTTCTGCGGTGTTAACTGCGCATGTGAGCTGCAGAATCCAGGCATGGGGCTTAAAAGCATTCTCCCTGCT